TTTAAATTTAATTTTTAATTTAATTAAGTTAATTATATGAAAAAGGAGTGCGCCTAGGCCATGATCCGAAAATGAAACTTCCGTCAATTCATTTCCAATCCAATGAATACTGCAAATGATTTGTATTACTTATTATATTAGCGCTAGTCGCATTTTCTCAAGTAGCTTTTGAAATTTTTACACCTACTTGAGAAAACGGTCTTAGTCTTAATTTTTTTATTCGTATTCGTCATTCTCGTGTCGTATTCGCATTCTTCCTCGCACTCGTCTTAATTTTTGTATTCGTATTAGTCTCAGCAATCGTTTTCGATTTCGTATTCGTCTTTGTATTAGGTTTTAAATTCGCACTCGAAATCGTGTTCGTCTTAGTATTCATCTTTCCATTCGATTTCGTTTTGATCTTTGTTTGCTTTTTGTCTTCGTATTCATGTTCCTTCTCGTCCTCGTATTCTTCTTCACCTACGGTCTTTGTATTCGCTTTCGTCTTTGTCTGCGCTTCTTTAGGTCTTCGCTTTATTGTTCGTCTTTTTCGTCTTAGTCTTAATCTTAGCCATACTATTGGTCCTGGTTTTGGTATGAGTGTTATCTAGTCTTATCCATATTCACAGTCTTACTCATAGCCATAACCTTAGCCTTAGGATTAATCTTATCCTTCGTCTTAGTCTAAGCTTTAGCCTTAGTTTTCGCTTCACGCTTAGTACTGGTGTTGATTTTAGTCTGACTCTTAGCTATAATCTTAGTCTTAGTTAGGCTTAGTCTTAGTCGTATTTGTAGTATCCATCTTATCATTGCTCTTTGTATTAGCCTTAGTCTTAGTCCGTTTGTCTTTGTCGTAGTGTTAGACTTAAACCGCTGTCGATAAACACATGTTGCGATAAAGCAGTTTCACTTCAAAAATGTATAGTTTTATTACTCAATTCTATTTTTATACTTTTCATGAAAATGAACAGGTATTGTAACTTTGGTCAGATGTTAGTTTGATAAAGAAGTGGAAGAAGAGATGCACCCATAAACAGTCATTCTGAAATAATCAAGACTTCGAGCTGAGTCGATTTATTCATTTCCATCTGTCTTCTATAAGTTTTTCTGTCTGTTTGAATGCAAATTAGTCCCTCAGTTCTAGAGATATCCAACTAAAATTTTGTTACGCAGACGCCTTTTTACAATGCATTAATCCTTTGTCGGTACTACAACACATACATCTTCCATACAAGTAACTGTTCAGATATGAAATTTTGCGTTGTAACTTTGACATTTAAGAACACACGATTTTGCACTACATTCACTTAAGATTAATAAAAAATTGACAGTAAAATTTATCAAGAACTGGTAATTAATTTTTACTTGAAAATAGAACAATAGTAATAAAAAGGGGCCAAATCTTGTCTTATTGGTCACCCTCTTCATCAGCTTATACCAGGTATGGAATTAGTATTTTCTGCCAGTTGAAAAATTTACTGAAATTTAAGTTTACTGACCGGCTTGCGTTTTCACTGCTGGGTATTTACATATATATGTACATGCATAGCAGAGCATACTCTCCAAGAGCGTCAATGTGTCAACTTCAAGTCCCACTGGTATCGGCGTGCCTTCCAAATAGCCACTGATTGTGAGTAAAAGCTTCTGAACACCTAGTTTGCCGCCTGCTCGTCATGCAGTTTCCCTTCCAATAAATAACAAAAAAGAAGCAACTTAATTCCGCCATAAAGTGATCTCTCAATAGCACATACATACATCAGTGCACGGACTTTACCACTTTATTGGTACATCTACCAACTTTTTAGCTGTATTTTATTTTCTACCATTTTTACCAACAAAGGCTAAAAATCTACCGATATTTTCCGGAAAAACAGAGATTTAAATGAACGCAGTGTATGCATATTTTGTCATCGAACACACCTACAATAAAAATAAAAAGTTAACTCTGAGCACAACCAATTTAAAAGTGAAATAGCATCTCAATCAGCTGTTTATTTAAAAAAATTTCGTTTAAAAAACATTTTTATTTAAGGCATTTTAAATGTAATTTTAATCAAAAAACTTTGAAGTGGAGATATGTAATTGTTTGAGCTTGTTTTTAAATTAACACAGGGCTTGAATTACGGCATTCGTGATGGAATCAAATTCAAATGATGAATTCAAATCTCAATGAAATTACGGTATTAGATAGCGAGCTTGCTTTTTCAATTCAAAATGACTTTTGACAAACAACTTCTCTCGAGTAAAGTCATTTTCTATTCAAAACTGTAATTCATAGAGTTGTCGAATGATATTTTTATGTGTAGTAATTAATAGGGGTAGTTCAAGATGACATCTTAATGACAGTTATATAAAAATATGAAATTTTTAAATGAAAGTTCCTTATAATTCCAACCTACAGAAAGCACAGAGGTTGTTTTCCCAAAAGTCCACAGATTTTATTTCATTCGATTCGAATCGAGTTTTATGCGATCACGGATGCCATGATTCGGGCCCAGTGTTATGTATATATTTTTTGTTGAATGTTTTATTGGCGTGAAAAACATTTTTTGTTCGTTTATAAAGAAAAAAAAAAAAAACAACTGCCCCACCTAATAGCAGGAGTACAGAAACAAAAATTACACCAACCACGTATAATTACAGTAAGAATTACGCAGATACATCATTTTGACATTAAGAACTACCGAGGCGA